GGCGATGAGCAACAGTACCCAAATGCCGCTAAATTCCTGAAGCCCACTCCGCTTCTCAGCAGCAGCAGCAGCAGCAGCCAAACCAGATACTGTACAACAATTGTGTAATATCTGTGTGTGTGTGCAAAGATTGCTTTCTCAGTAGCTCTCTGAAGGTCAAAATCACTCCACAAGTGGTGTGTACGTTTACGTTTGAGTTCTCTCTCTCTCTCTCTCTCTCTCTCTCTCTCAAGATTTGAAGGGGACTGGTTGGTGGCTATATAATGGCTTAACTTGCTGTTGTACATTTGAGCCATCAAAGTGCTGCTGGAGCCAGTCAGCAACAGGCATCAGCAATAACTGAGGTCGAGAAGCCCGTGTAAACAATTAACACTGTGTAGTGTACTGATACTGTCTGTGTTACTTGTGTTATTGTGGGCTGATAGGATAATCGCCATAAAATAAAATGTTGCTAAGGAGGTACCTGATAAGTGGTGCGAGTGAGAGAGGATAAAACTATGCCAGGCGCGCTGCAAATGAATGGAATGAACTGGACCGGTCTTTGGAGCGCGCAGATGATAACCACGATGATAGTGATGATAGTGATCCTTTTTTCTTTCTGTCTCTGNTGATAAGTGGTGCGAGTGAAAGAGGATAAAACTATGCCAGGCGCGCTGCATATGAATGGAATGGACTGGACCGGTCTTTGGAGAAGATGATAACCACGATGATAGTGATGATAGTGATCCTTTTTTTCTTTCTGTCTCTGTCTTCTTCTAATTTGTTCTATTTGTTCAGTGCAAAAGAAAAGAAAAGAAAAATAAACATTGAAATGAGCCAGCAGCACGAGCAGTGCTCATGCTGGAGCTGGCGGCAAATATTTACTTTACCAGTCAGGTGATGAGTTGGGAAGGGAAGGGATCGGTGGACGAGGAGGATATTTTAGTGCAAATTGTGGCGGCACGTCCTTGCTGATGATGCCTGTCGGAGAAGGAGATTCAAGATGAACAAGAGCTTCTTCCTCTTCTTCAAGACGTTAAAGTTCGCACTTTGCTTTCAAGAAGGAAAAAATATCGCTCCAAAGTTCTGCGAGCTGCCAAAAAACAACAAAAATGGCGGGAAAACATTTCAAGCATAAAAACGGAGAGAAAGTTTCTGGGAAACTCTTTCGGAAACGCGCTTTTTTTGCCGCCACTTTCACTCTCTCATTGTTGTTTACTTTTGCGCCACTTTGGGTTCGATTTTCGAAAAAGCGGCTTTTGTTTGTAACATAAGAACCTTGTCACCTTTTTATTGTTTCTGCTACAACTACTTCAAAGCATCACCACCACCAGTTCCACCGATGAGCATGTACTTGTACTCGAGCATCTTGTCAATCTCCGGCTCGCTGAAATTGCTGTCCGTCCGTGGATCGTCGCCGCCAAAGCTGCTCACGTACTGCTGCTCCAGGCTGACCTGCGGAAAGAGCGCCCGGAAGTCGGCCTCCACTTCGGCCAGGCCGCTGGGAACGCCGATTCGGCTGAAGCTGTTGTAGCCGAAGGGCAGAATGACCGGCTTGGAGGGATTGGTGCTGATGGTCGGCTTGCCACCACCGCCACCGCCAACACCTGAAGAACCTTCCTCAGCCGAAGATCCCCCGCCCATCATCCGATCAAAGGCCAGGCCGTCCAGGGCGCCGTAGACGCGTTTCATCAGCGTCTCCGACTTGGTCGACGTGAAGATAAGAGAGCCACCGTGGTGGACGGCCACGGCGCGCAGATACCGCACAATTTGCTTCTTCACCTCCGGATCGAGGTTCTGGAACTCGTCGTACTTCGTTCCTAGAATCAGCAGCGGCACCGGCAGGTGGTCCACCGAAGAGTCACCGGCGGCTGATGATGAAGTTGATAATGACGCCTCTTTAGAAGACGACGAAAGCCGCCGCCTGGTTGCCTCCAGCAGCGCCTTCTTCAGCTTCGAATTGCCCTTCATCAGGCCGGCCAGGTGGCGGTGAAGGGCCTCGGCGAGCATCCGCTCCACCAGCGCCGCCATCTCCTGCGGTCGGGTGAGGTCGACTACGAGGACCACCGAGCTGGTGGCCGCCGTCTCCGGGGTGAGGGCGAACTGCAGCAGATTCTCCGCAAAGAGGAGGCCCTGACCGAGTTCCCAGACGTTGGCCACCTTGCTGCCCAGCGAGGCGTCGAGAAGAACAGTTTCCGCCGAAGAGGAGGAAGAGGAGTTGCTGCTGCGGCGAAAGTCCACTGAAGAACTACCGCCACCACCACCACCACTGACCTCCTTGCGAAGAAATCGGTAAGTGAGGGCAATTGTTTCGGTGTAGGCGGCTGACGGCTCAGCAGTGGACGACTGGTGCTGTTGTTTTGTCCCGAGTCCACCCGAGGAGTTGAGCATCGACGCGAAGCGGTCAATCAGTGAGGTCTTTCCCTGCCGAGTAGGTGCAATCTTTGTTAGCTTTGCTAGAAACCTAGGAACTTAGGAACTGCTTCTTTCGAACTTACGCCAAACGCCGAGCCGACAAAGAGGAGGGTCGAGTAGCCGTGCAGGAGGCAGTGCTCCAGTGGCTCGGTGGCCGCCAGCAGCTCCAGCGACCTGCTGAGAATGTCGTCCGGTTTGGTGGACAGGCCGCTGGTGATGGGCTCCTCCATCGCTGAGTGGTCTGTTTTGATTTTTTTTATTCTAGGATTCTAAAATGTACAGATTCTTTTTAGCTTTGGTTTGTATTCTATTTGGAAATCTAGTTGTCTAGGAGAGAGTAACTATGGAANTGTACAGATTCTTTTGTTAGCTTTTCTTTGTATTCTATTTGGAAATCTAGTTGTCTAGGAGAGAGTAGCTATGGAAACGGTAGTGTTTAGGCTATCAAAAACACATAAAATCCTGATTTGCCACTTTAGTGGTAATCTTCACTAGCAGATGGCCGTACTTGAGGCGTTTTCAGAAGGACATTGATGTTTTATTTTGTCAGAAGAAAGGGGAACAGTATTGTAAAGCAGTTGCAACAATGTTGCACTGTCGACTGGCGATTTACAGCACAAAAAAATTCTCGTTAAAATCCCCTTAGCAATTTTTGTTTTTTGTCTTGATTTTCGCGTAGACTCTCAGTGATTGCTTCTTCTTCTTCTTCTTCTTCTTCTTTTTCTTCTATCGATAGACAACAATTCTCTTTCTTTTTACTTTTTCCTTCATTCTCTAACCCTTTCAGGCGGCAGTTAAAAGCGAAAGTGGTGGTAGTAAAATGACGGCCAGTCATGCTCGCCTGACGACAGGCAGGGCTCGCTCTCTTCTCTGTCTGCCTGTCTGTCTGTCTTACCATCATCACAATCCCCCACCATTACTACCACCACCACTACCATCATCACAATCACAATCACAATCATGAGCAGCA